CACACAAAGGAATGAATACGAGGCGCCATGCATTAAGCTCAGTCATTTGTGAAAAGACAATAGTTTTCGCAACTGACTGAGATCTACGCACAGTGCCTCGTCTTGATTCTTTTGTGTTTGACTGCTGAAGCAAAATTCGTAAATCAGCTATTCAACTTGATTGCATTCTGGTTCATTGACACTGACAATTTGTCTCTAAATAGCAGCTATTTGTTAGTATTTAGTTTGGTTTTATTTCATGGTTTCCATGCGTTTGCTCTAAAACTAGCTGTAAAGACTGATTGATCAAACTGATACACAACAGAATTGGGCTGTGTTATAAATGACTATATGACTAGACCTGTGTAGCCTCTAGCTTGTGAACCTTTTGTTTAAAATTTCAAAACATAAATTTGCACACTGCAATTCACATAGCCAGTTGATGTCTGTTAAGAATTATTATTAGCATCATGCCAAAAATCTCCTGTAATCTGGAAACATTTTCAAAGGTTACAATGCTTATAAAAAAAACAACAACATATGCTTACTTAAATATGATTAGTAAATGAAATAATCATTAAATATAGTGCACGTATAACAGCCACATAGTACAATAAATTGCAAATTGTATTTCTCATATTTATGTTTAGGAAGTTGATCTCTGGCTAGGAAATCATGAATATATTCTATTAACGAAAATGAATACAATCAAAGATGCAGTTTTAAAATGATTCAAAAAGCAGGACTTCTTGATAAATCACACTGCTTTGACATAAATATTATAGTATCATAAGCCAAAGATAAGCTGTGTTTAACCAAAGTCAACAGATTCCTAAGGATACATACTGTGAGAACTACAGTTTACAAGCTTTATAATCACCTACAAACAGACTAACGTACCTTACATGTAAATTGCCAACGAATCTCACCAGTTGACGGCCATCCACGGTTAAATATCATGCCTAAAGACACTACAGCCATTCGGATAGCTTACTAGTTGAAAGATGTTGTTTGTAAACGAATAAAATCCATGAGAACTGCCATGAAAGACGAAAAATCTGTAGACTCGCCTCAAACATGACCGTTAGAAATGGCGCTCGAACGAGACAATTAGAACATCGCAAAGGATCATGGATATCCTCGCCCCAGTCTCCAGGAGGAAACGTGTTTTTAATATAAAAGAAAAGTAATAAGCTAAATAAAAGTAAATTCGAAATAGATAAATAAAAATAAGCGAACTTCATGTGAGATTATGCATATTGTTTTAAACTGTACGGATTGTGAGAAAGAGTAGTCTTCTCGCAGCCGTTCTTAGTGGCGGGCTCCCTGTCCCCCTCCCCACATGGTGCAGTACAGTAGAGAAATAGAAAAAAATTATGATATAGATTTATTCATAATATCATTAATCATAACCAGCCTTATTCATAATGGATACTCGACAATCGGGACAAAATAGTACTATATGTAATATATTTTGTTGGCTTATTATTCTCTATAGGACACTATAGTATTTCACATACGGTGTTTTTAAAAGCTAGTTATTGCGATTTATTGAAAATTCTAGGGTACTTGAGTCAGAAGTATTATGGTACGTATACCTCAGTGATTCCCATTCGTTACGTTTTTCAAGAGTATTCGGTAAGGAAAACTATTGATATACGTGTAGTATGCCGGATTTGAATACTCTTGACAAATCATACTTGACATACTCTGGTAAGAATACGCCAGCGATACTCGATACGTGACGTATGCAATAGTATTCAATATGAATACCCTAGGAATACGTCAAGTATCATCCTGCGACTTGAATACCTCCGAATACGCGTTGTACCACGGGAATATTCTGGTCCTGAAAACTATTGAATACCGGCCTTTTTGCACAGTGTTACATACAAGAAGAAAAAAAATCCTACACACCACCAAGAAAAAAATATATATCCTACCCAAAAGCCACGAAGAAAAAAAAAATCTTGCACACAAGAAATCATCCCCCCCCCTCAAAAGTCAAATGGACCGTCCCTTATGGGCTTGATTTTCTTGTGTCTTGAAATTCGATTTCTGACTTTTATGCAAATTAGCTAAAACGTAAACATTGGCGCCCACCCATAAAACGCATTTTTACCCCATTTCTTCCTCAGTATTCATCTTTCACAATTGATCACACACATGTGTTACAAGTATCATTAAGATCCTGTGCATCCTTCATTGAATTCATGTTGTTGTTACATACCAGAGGGTTTTTTTGGGTGCTTCACTCCTTTGTTCTTACAGGTATTTTCCATACATTCAGGTTGATGTTGCTGTGAAGTGTCTTAAGATCTCGAAAGACTCAGCTTTTCTACAACTACAACTTGACTTTACCAAAGAAGCAAATGGAATGAGCCGTTTGGATCATCCTCACATTATAAAGCTGTATGGTGTGGTTCTCTCTACACCCATTATGCTGGTAATTGTAGCAACTAACTTCACACTTATTTCCTGCCTGAACTGGCTACAACCAACCCAATACACTATCCGTCATACACTATCGAACACGAAGATGATCCCTAATGCCACATTGTTCGTCTTTTTTGAACAGTTGAATTTATTGTATCCAGACTATTATGATAGCCTGTGTACAGACCGAAATTTTCTCAAAGTTCAATCKCGTAGTTCGCTAGAACACGGTTCGTTGCTCTGATTCACAGACTGAACTTTGAGAAAATTTCGGTCTGTACACAGGCTATTTTATGATAACAGGGGTGTCTTGAATTGAGGCAGGATCACCAAAAAAAATTTTACAAAGAAAGGTTTTACAACACTCAATTTATTAAGATCTTATCATTTTAATTTCGGTTCTGGATAAAAATAGTCTAGCCAGTTATAGTAACATTTGCGATCGTAGCTCCGTGGATAACAATGTGGACTTCCTATCCTATATGTTCCCGGCGTCGATTCCCAGCGGCAGAGAATAATAATATTTTCTTCCTTTATTATTTTTTAACATATTTAAAAGGAATAAAAAACGGTTTTCCGTGTATTATACTCTGATAAAAACACGCGGGATGTGGGGAGAACACGACAGAAGCGTAGGAAACCAGTTTTAAGTATAGTTTAAAACGCGAAAGAGAGTGTTTTAAACGGYCAAAAAACTCCAACACTAATTTTATCCAATGACAAGTTAAAAATGGCCACTTACACAAACATTGGGCTACCTATGGTTTTTTTCTCCATACATCGTTATTCTTCTATCTTTTACATTTTTACATTTTACTTTCTATTCCACTGCTGTTGTTCTTCTTACTGTTTCACTCTTTTATTATTACTTCATGTGCTACGTGCAGGTAACTGAACTAGCTGCCTTGGGTTGTCTACTGACGTGTCTTCGTGAGGAGAATCCAAAGTTCTTGATATCTCAACTTTGTGATTTCGTCATCCAAGTTGCTTCTGGCATGTCATATCTTGAGTCACAGCATTATATTCACAGGGATCTTGCTGCTAGAAATCTTTTATTGTCTTCCTATGATACCGTAAGTCGTTATTCTTTGTAGAACAAGATTACTGATTGTTCCACTTTTGTCTGACCTGCCTCAGTTTTTAAGGCCGATTTGYGCGATGCAGCTTGTCACATGCGACTTGACGCACAAGACAGAATCGTACTGTGTAAAGGTCTTTGCCACTAGACTTGTCTCATCAAGCTTTAGGGATTATGGGTAATCTTCAAGTCATGAATGACAAGTCAYATCGCGTAAATCGCCTTTAGACGAGAACTGTCAAATATGAAAATGTATTGATAATCTATTTTCATGAAATGTACTCATTTACATTTAAAAATGATTTTCGGATCATAGAAAAATGTTCGTTTTGAAACTGAAATTATGTCTACATCRAATAGATATGATTTGCATTCTTGCTAATTCGCGCGAACTATTAATATCTGACAATGTTCTATAGATTAAAATCGGTGACTTTGGACTTATGAGGCCACTTGGTACAGAGGAAGATTACTACACTATGAACCCAAAAGGGAAAGTGCCATTTGCGTGGTAAGGTGAATGCAGTCCTGCAAACCTGTATGAAACGGCCCTTTATTTAGCGATCACCTTGCTTTAAGTGGYCTCTCATGAATTTCACAAAATTCGATTCTCATCTATATTTTTACTGTAAGCGTGAGTTCCATTAAACGGCCATTCGTTTCATAACAGAGTCGTTTAATAAACATCATTAAGGTGAATGCTATACGCGCTTCTGATTGGACGTATCGCTATTTTTCACATGTGAAAATATTGCTTACCGATTTTTTTATTTATGCCATTTATTCTATGAAATTCTCGTTATATATATANTTGTAGTGGTATTTGGGATACATAGATACCACGCATGGTATTTCAAATTGTCAAACAAAAATTCTCAAGATAAGCAAAATTTGTGACAATTTTGAAATATCACAAGTGGCATTTATCCCAAATTCTATGTTTGTTTATGAAATGGTTGAACAAAATTGTGCAATGTGAAATACCACTATTAAGTATAAATACCTCTCMTCTAAGCCAACCAAATTGCACTATTTTATTCAATCATATTAAAACTCAATGAACGTCACTTCAATTCAATAGTAACAAAAGTGGTCGATAGAGTACACACTCTAAGTGCGTGCAAATCCTGAACACTAACAATTTTTTATGACAATTTCTTCCCTTTCTTGTCCTTCCTGAAAGAATAATAAGAATACACCATATTAATTAAGGAATCCATAAACTGTAGCTATGTTTTTTTGTTCTTTTTAAAATGTATTGGGTAATTCTTAGTCACCACCAATATGTTTGCATAAAATCTAAAATACTTATTTTACATTAAATAATTTAAAAAATAGCTCATGTAAGGAGAAATCTAACATTTTTTTGCTAAAAAACAACAACACTGCCTTGTACTGTTAACTGGTGAACAACACTTCAATCCTAGCATTTCCCTGACCAACGACCAACATCTCAAGGTGTTTTAGTAAAAAGACTAAATAAGATTACATAAATAAAATAATAATACATACAAATTGTGAAAAATATCATTTGATAGAAAGTTTGTCTTTAATTTATCCTCAGAAAAAAATATGAATATTTGTAAAGGCAATAGCATGTTTTGTAGTGGTATTTGGGATAGATAGATACCATGCATGATATTTCAATTTGTCAAACAAAAATTCTCAAGATAAGCAAAATTTGTGACAATTTTGAAATATCACAAGTGGTACATGTATTTATCCCAAATTCCATGTACAAAAAAATCTATATTTGTTTATAAAATGGTTGAACAAAATTGTGCGATGTGAAATACCATTATTAAGTATAAATACCTCTCCTCTAAGCCAAAAAAATTGCACTATTTTATTCAATCATATTAAAAATCAATGAATGTCATAATTGTCAACAACACTGCCTTGTAATGTTAACTGGTGAACATGACTTCAATCCTAGCATTTCCCTGGCCAACATCTCAAGGCTTAGTTGTAACAACAGATCAATTAACAGTTATATATAATTTTGATTGGTTTTATCATAAAAGCTCTGTAATATACTCCTTCAATGAGCAGTCATAAATGAAAGTTATATGTGACATTTGTTTAAAAAAAGATATAGTATAGAGGAAATGCAGAAAACCATGAAATAAAATCAAACAAAATACTAACAAATAGCAGGTATTTAGAGACAATTTGTCAGTATCAATGAACCAGAACATAATGAAAAGGAATCCACATGTGACCATTTTTTATAGCCGACTTGCAAGTTTTGCATCAAACATCGCACACAAAGGAATGAATACAAGGCGCCATGCATTAAGCTCAGTCATTTGTGAAAAGACAATAGTTTTCGCAACTGACTGAAATCTACGCACAGTGCCTCGTCTTGATTCTTTTGTGTTTGACTACTGAAGCAAAATTCGTAAATCAGCTATTCAACTTGATTGCATTCTGGTTCATTGACACTGACAATTTGTCTCTAAANAGGTTACTATTAACATTGATAACGGCATAATTTTAGGTGTCCTCCAGAATCGTTAAAGTTTAGGAAGTTCTCACACGCATCCGACATGTGGTCGTTTGGTATTTTACTCATGGAATTGTTTTCTTATGGAGAAGAGCCCTGGCCTGGCTTGAATTGYTCACAGGTGGGTCGATTTCCAAATGGCTKGGACTTAATAAAACTTTACAACTATCCATGCATGAAACTTATCACTGAATTGTATACCGTGTATTTTGTTTGATGGGCTACCCATTTTCAGTCGTGTACCTTTTCGTATTAATCTTGATCTATTCCATTCACCCAACACACTCTATGCGTATAGTGGAGACAGTTGCTAGCCACACATTTTTAAATAAAATCTTACTTTAATTAGTTTGGCTTTCGCGTCGTTTGTTCATTCATTTCATTCATCCTAATATTATATTCAACTCTAAGATACTACAGAAAGTAGATCGACCCAATTTAGAAAGACCTCCAAAGCCCAGTCATTGCCCGTCTAAGATTTACAACGTTGCCTTCAATCACTGCTGGGCGCACGACCCCGCACATCGACCTACATTCTCAGCAATACAGAATATCATGGAGCAGGTAAACATTTGATTCCCAGAAAAATCTCCTTGTGCATGGTTGACGCTAATTTAACCTTTACGATTTTGCCCGTATTTAGTCATTTCAATTTCTACCATGATAGAATGGAGACGTCTGTGTCGAYGACAAACGTTTACCTTTCATGGCCCCTTTTGTATGTAAATAGTCGATTTTGAGACGGTCCGGACGTACCTCTTCCTTCGATCATGGTAGATCTGGTAGAGCATCCCCTTGTAGCCCATTATAGATAATATTCGACAAAACATGATCGCACTTAAACAATTCGTGATGGTCTAAGTCAGACTCCCTAACCAGTGTATAGCCATTGGAATTGTATGAAATTCATGGACCATCTAGATGTTCACTAGCTCTTGATTTTTACTAATTGTAGATTCGTCCCCAAGATGTAAAAGCAAAGCGTACATTCGACAGCAAAACTCCACAAAACCTTTTTTTTATCGAAGGCGATGTCGTTACTCTCATTGAAGCAAGGTACCTCGTGAAGGGAGTGTCTAACAGGCGCGGGTCGTGAGTAAAATGTAATGGGTAGATTTTTCCAGAAMTAATGGAAACTTTATTTGTTTAATACTAATCAGTAATAATAATTGCTGATAGTTAATCGCCCTTCCTCGCAGCCCGAGTGCTGAATTACAAAGGACGCGGCTCACGTGATCGATTCGGTTATGCGGTATACGAGGGTGCTATCATGAGGACAATCACATAGTTACAACACACACACAAAGCAGCCAACCAACCGACCCATATCTGATCACGGAGCACAGCTAGGATCGAAAYGYTCCRTTTTTGCTGASGGAGGAAAAACCGGAGAACTCGGAGAAAAAACCCTCGAAGCATGGGAGAGAACGGAAACAAACTCGAGCCACATATGATCCCRAGTTAGAATCTAACCCGAGACCACAGCAGTGACAGGGCGGCGCTCTCACCGCTCGGCCACCTAGCTTGTATAGGCAATTAATAACTGGATGCTTGAAATATTAATGATGATGATGATAACTATARAAATCGCACGACCTTGAGTACAATTTGGAATTAATAATCACAAGTAATGTTTCGAAAGTTCTTCATAATTGTACGAGCCCGAAAACTTCGAGGTTTCACAAATCGCACTTGAAATGTGTGAAGGACTAAACAAGGCCTTTATGTGGTTAGAGTTTGGTTTATGCTTAGCAGATATAAAACCACAGGAAACCTAGCTTGATTAATCTCGCAGTACTTCACTTTCTATTTAATTACTTCCGCACTTTCTATATAGTTTATAAAATTTAGTGTAGGGTACTAATAGCTGTAAAATGCAATTCGTTCTAAAATTGCTGACCGATTTATTGACTGGTTATTTTCTAGCACTGATGCATCATGGTGGCGAGGACAAAACAAAAGGACAGGGCGAGTAGGAATGTTTCCTTCGGACTTAGTTGGCGGGCGCTCAGGTAATGTCTATCCGCTTTCGTTTCTTTATCAAATAGATGTATGCATGAGTGACTGTCACTGTACATTCTACACGCATACGCGGTCGTGCGRTATTGTATATATGCCAATAATTTCAGACAAATTACACTGCAATCCGTTCAGTTACCATCTAAAACTTGCTTTGATATTTTTTCTTATAGAATCATCTTCTCCCACCATTATTCGAAGTGCATCATTCGTCATGTAAGTCATTTAGATATTTTGGTTGTTTTATGTTTCCATTGTCTRAGTGAGTCAAAGTTATCAAAAATGGGTGTCTAGCCATATGTGATGCTGATTCTACCTGATACTTTATTGAAAAAAGAAAAGTGTTTCCCCGGAAATGGGCATCAAGTCTGTTATACGTTTTCCTTAGGAACGTCCAGAATCCAAAGTCACCAGAAGTAAGCTGCAGACCAGGAAACCCAAACTGTGGTAAGTCATTCTGCTGAAATTGAGTAGATAAAGTGGTTTCYGTTTAATAATCTTAAGCGCCTTCCCTTMCCTTAATCAAAAGTTTCTCGGGAATTCGGCTTTTGGAAGCAACGAAAACCAAATCAAAACACAAGCAAAAATGTTCATAAYAAGCATTGGCATACCATGAGTTCTTTTTAGTTTCCCCGACGTGCTGYCTAAGAACACTGATCCCACTTAAAATGACGATTTTCAGTGTGCTCATGTCATGAGATTGCTTATAAACTTACAAACCTTTATCATGCTCAAATAATTTCATTTCGAAAAATATGGAAAMGAATGGAAGAACCAAATTGGGCATATCATTAGTAATAAAGATACAAAGTTTCAAGAAGAAAAAAATGCTCTTAAATTTACGAAGATATGAATTTTTTAAATTCCCTTTTTTTTTCGTGATGGAAAAAAGGCTCAACGGACGATTTCCGGGTACCATACGTTTGCTGGCTACAATACTTTCTTTGCAAAAATACATAGTTTGAGAATTCACAATTCATATCTTTTATTTTAAGTTCAATAGTGCGAAAGCTCGGGCAATTAAAGTCAAATTTGTCTAGATGGATACATCTGAATCTGCAATTATGGATGAATGAATTACTGGAAGTGATCCCTTATCATCTTGTCTCTAACTTAAAATCCGTATCTCCGCACACCCATGTAACATCCTCTATATGAAAACCATGCTCCCCTGCAGCATGTCGTGTRCTTGAAGTCCATGACTTTGAAACTTGCTTCTTCAGAAGAGGGTTAGTGGKTTATCTATTGTGCAGAGAGTCTAGTTTAAGCTGAAATTYATTGTTTATATCCAAGATCTTCCAACCCACTTGCTTACCCACACTCTGTCTTTGGTTTAAGCAAACTAGATGTGTGCGCATCGATAATGTGCGTGATGTATGTAATGTACTTGCAGTCCATGACTGCGAATATTACTTCTCCAAAAATAGGGAGCAAGTGGGTTATTGCATGTTGTCCGCTAACCCACTTTCTAACCCATCCTGCCTTTATTTGATCCAAACAAATCATGTGTTTTGCAATAGATCATTATCACTTTGAGATGAGCTGTTAGTTCCTCTATATTGCTCTGTTCCACAAATTTAGGTCACATCACAGAATCACAGAATCTCGATCATTTATGTACTGTTGCTGGTCTTACTGCTCTAGTAGATTTTCCTACTAGGGGCGATGCTACTCTTGACAACTGTTTAACTAATAAGCCTGGGCTCTTTCAAACACTTTATCCTTACAAGAACTTGATCAAAACTGATCACATCAGTGTAATACTTCCTCCTGGCAGCAAGTTGAAGCCTCTAGCTGCGTACCAAGTATCAGTTTAGAGATTACCGAGAACACCGTAAATTGTCGTTCGCTAACAAAATCCAGGCCTGTGATTGGTCGCAKGTGCTGAATACTCAAGACGTTCATTGTGCCACTAATCGACTAATTGGCACTCTTCATAACATAAAGGACTCATGTTTTCCAGTGAAAACCGCCACTGTGTCTACGAGAGACCCCCCCCCCTCGATTACTCCACTTCTGAGAAAGAAAAGAAGCAACATTTCTTTGAGGAAACATAATACTCAGCTCATTCTTAATGACAATTTCTTAGAAGGTGTAAATGACTTCTTTGGAAATTTATGTCATGATAAGGAATATGTGGAGCCTGAATTAGTTAAAATCGACGAAAATCGAGTTCTGCTTGCCTTATCTAACATAAAGAAATCAGCAACAGATCCCGATGGTATACCATATTGGGTATGGAAGGAGAATGCAGACTTACTCGTTACTGTGATTACTGCTATATTGAACCTATCATTGAAGAACCACACCTGGCCATCTGCGTTGAAACAAGCTAATATTAACCCTCTTCCTAAAGTTGACACACCCCTTGAATATCAGGATTTTAGAGGCATTAATGTCACTCCTATCACTGACAGATGTTTTGAAAGAACTGTGTATAGAGCTTTTAGCAAGCCTGTTTTTGAAGCTAACCTTSATCCTTCTCAGTTTGCTTACAGAGATGGAGGTAACTGCACTGATGCTCTTTTGAAGTTGCAATATAACTGCCTGAAAGCTCTCRATGATACAGAAACTGAAGCAATTAGACTTTTTTCCATGGACTTTTCTAAAGCTTTTGATAACGTTAGAAATTTACTTTTAAGCCAGAAACTTAAAGCCCTTAATCTTAATCTTTATCTTATCAATTGGTATCTTAGTTTTTTGAAAAACAGGAAGCAGCGTTTAGTTTTTAGAAGTAAGGTTTTCAGTTGGCATAATGTCAACAAGGGCACTGCACAAGGTAGCGTCAGTGGGCCTTATTTATTTAATCTTTTCAATAATGATCTCAATATTGAAAGTGATCCTATGACTCATCTTATTAAGTATGCTGATGACACTACTATGCAAGTAACTATTTGTAAGTCTGGTCCAGATAGATCTCAGGACACTGTTAACCAGTACCTTAAATGGTCTGATCAAAACTGTATGCCATGTAATGTTTCTAAATGTAATGAACTGTGTCTTCAGATAAAAACTAAAGTAAGCTATAGCCCTGTAAATAACATTAWGCAGGTAGACACAATTAAGTTACTAGGTATCTCCTTCCAAAGTAATTCCAGACTCACAGTGCATATTAGAAATAAGCTGCTGCTAGAAGCCAACAAATGTCTTTTTGTTATTAGGATTCTCAGAAAAGAAGGGTACTCTCAGACTGATAGTGACTTTCATTTTAATTCTATAGTTTTACCTAAGCTCACTTATGGGCCCAGTATCTATGCTGCTTCCAAACCTGAGCTAACTACAGTACAAAATTTTCTCAACCGTTGCTACAAACGAAAGTACATTTCATATTTTATAGATATTTTTAAATTTTTAGATAAATCAGACCGTTCTATTTTTGATAAAGTCTCTAATGTTAGCCATCCTMTACACAATATTTTACCGAAAATCAAGAAGTCATTTCTAAGACTAATAAATAATAGCAGCCAGCTACCTAGAGTAAATACAGAACGTTTTAAAGAATCTTTTGTAAATAGGCTTAATTTTAGACATAAATTATTTGTTAAATAGTAATATTCTCTCAATTTTTATAATATTTATTGTATATAATTAGATATACAGCCTTTTGCACAAATTATGAGACATTTTTATATATATAAATATACCTAACCAAATATCAAAAACACCCAAGAAATTATGGGATACCGTCGCTGATATTTTGTCTGTAACAACCTGATGCTAGGCAATCATGACAAAATATCAGCGACGGTATCCCATAATTTCTTGGGTGTTTTTTATATTTGGTTAGGTATATTTATATATATAAAAATGTCTCATAATTTGTGCAAAAGGCTGTATGTAATAATTAATATGTATTTTTACTCATTAATAAAGACTTTATTATCATTATAATTATTATTATTAATCATTGTAGTTTTATTTAGACCAACCACATCAAATTTGGAACTTGAAAAATAAATGATCAAGAAATATTTCGAGAGAAAGAGAGGAACAGTTTATCTGTCTGYCTGTCGCTGTCTGTCTCCCTCTCTCCCTGCATTGTGAAGCGAAAGACCATGTACGTGTGCATGAAAATAATTCTGTATGAAACAAAAGATCATTCTTCTTGACTATATTTAAAGAAGGAATTTCCACACGTTAAGTTTTGACATTTKTTAAAAAGTTGCTTCTCATTGGGCTTTAATCGTTTTCCTTTTTTTCTATTTTTTTCTAGACTGTGGTGAAAATCACGTATATGACTTGCCATTTGTTGTCAGTTCACCAAAGCGTATATCCCAAACACGCTCCATAGACAGCGACCTGACTTTAAGCACTGAAAGTGGTTATTCGTCAAGTTTTTCCAATCGGCCAAACAGTGAGAATAGTCGAAGTCAAGCTTCTTATGAGAATTTTACTGGTGCTCCTAATTATGAATTGATGGAACCAAAAGTCAAAACTAAACCAACGCGTCCACCACCAGTACCAGGCGATGACTGTAAAGATGAAGGGTCAACCACTCCAGTTTCTAAAACCAATCGAACGCCTACAGCAGAACCATTGCAAGATGGCCCACAAGAGCAAGTTTCAAAACGCTGGTCATCTGGAGATAAACCGAGGTCAACTGGGCCGTTTACTCTTTCGCGTCGRGTAGGTGCCAAGAAGCTAAAATCATTTGATATTCCAGTAAAGAGGATTGACAGCATTTCCACTCCACCATCTTCCAACGAGATCTCAAAAAATGATTCKCAATTGAGCCWTTCAGCGAAGCATTCTCCTTCATCCTTACGACAAAAGCACAAAAGTARYTCACCGCAAACGAGTCCCATCCGAAGGTCAWCATCAGACGWCTATCAGAAGTCACCRTCAAKGGAAATTCCACGGCGTWTTACTAGAAGTTGCTCTTCAGACATTATTCGATCAAAGTCGTTAAAAGAAGCGCAGCAACTAGTGGACTCCCAAAGACAAACTAGAATTAAAGTTTCAGATGGTATTGAAGCTAGAAGGTCTTCTTCATTTAMTAGTTCCACTGGACGTGCTCGGGAAAGAACGGAGTTCTGTGAACATTATGAATGTATTCCGCGAAGTAAGAGTATAAGTGTTGGWGACGAGAACCATATATTATGTAAATCGCCGCAGCACGATTCGTTCTATGAGAACCACGAAATAATAAATGTCATCAAAAAAGCTTCRCCGGAATGTAAGAATGAGAATATTGATTTGCAGCATGAATCTTCAGYTCTTCAAAATAGTCTCGACGCCACCTTATCTCTTGAATATGAGAAAATGGTTTTTCGACAGAAAAACACYGAAAACGAAGGAAACTTTTTCGATGAAACGTCCCAAAAKAATGCCTATTATGAAAATGTCCCCTTTGGGTATGTAGAGAATTTCGTAATGATTGAACATTCGGATGTCCCAGACGAAATTTGTACAACGTTAAGCAATTTGAAATGCCCGAGCTACGAAAATCATGGATTTGAAGAACTTACTTCTTTGTCTAAAACGGGCTTAGATASASAGACTAACACCTGCGACCCTTTCGTTTRYGAGGAATACTCGTGTTCTTTGCCAAATTCKTGTAATTGGGAAATCTGCCAAAAAAGCTTGGATAAAAGTGGTGGTTTGATTATTAAGATAGGGAAGTCGATCACACCAAGAATRCGGAAGACAAGCAGTGATGGGAATTTGAAGAATGATGAAAGTTATGCTAATATTGGTAATTCAGATGATTATCCAGTTGATTCGTCTCAATTCAAAGACAAATCTAAAGAAGCAAAGTGTTCGGTGGATATTACAGGTGAATTAGCAAGCATATTATCAAGCCGTATAAGTATCAAAGAAAATGTTGCAATCACTGACGATGGCATTAAACTTGTCGAGACTCTTGATGAAATCGCTTGTGGGACCACTAAAGAACTTTCCTGGTCATCTTTGCAGGAMGGAGATCCTGAAATATCGAAGCAAATAAATACCAACAACTCGGCTGGTAGTGATTTCCCACCTCTGATGCATGAAAGACAGCGGCATTCTTCATTAAGAATTGCCCAAACTAAAGGAAAGAATATTTCTTATGAGAATGTTAGAAAGTCTGATGATTCCTCGCCAGTTAATATACTTGAACATGAGTTGCAGAAAGACAAGCAAGAYGAAAGACTGACGTATTCCACTAGACCAAATGTGTTGTCCTTTGAGAACAAACTTGCGGCGTTCTCACTACCATTATCGCAACAAGCAAATTCATTAATTCGAAAAGACCACAGTGAAGAAGAAAAAGTACCAGCCCTCCCTCCTAAGAAAAGGTTTGGGCTCCGAACACCAGAACGACCCAGCACGTCAAACTACCCAAGGTTGTCACGTGACTCATCTGATCTTAAACTGCACATTCAAGATAATTTACAACGGTATCGTCCGTGTCCTTCAAAAGGAAGCCCAAATTATGAATATCCACAGAGAGATGCCAACGAAGATGACGAAATACCACCACCTCTTCCAAAAAAATATCAAAACCAAGTGTGTTGATGARATACCCGATATGACCTGCAACTGATTACTGTAACGGGGTTTATAACCAAACGACAGACATAAGAAGGAATTATATCCTAATTGATGCGTTTATGTCGTGATCTCTTGCTATATTCCATTTTGTACGATTCTTAAGGATATGATACAGTAATAGGATTATTTTTTGCAACGTTAGATAAAACCTATATATGTTRWGAATAGTTTMCAGCGTGAACAGCAGTGATCAAGCAGCATCAAGAAAAGCGCAGCGTGAGTTTTTGATCCTTGCTAAAACACTGCTGCCTGTTTTCTATATAGTTTAAAAACTGATTTTTAAAAACTCAAGTTGTGAGATAAAGGTGTACTTTACAAGCACTGATAACCGATGGCTATTCTACTTGGAGTCGTCAGTGAAACTTTGCATGAGACATTGATGGGAGATTGRAACTGTGACCTGTGCAAGTCAGTAGTTTCCAACAGGTATCTTTACTTATACATAATTGGTATATAACACGTGTTGTGATTRGTCAAAAAGCGTGTTTTGATGTGATTTTTTATTAAGCCATAGTTAATAGTTCCCCTCTATTAACTATGTTTAGCTTACTGGAATGTATGAGTATTCAGTTTTAGTAGGGCTATCTATAGGCTAGATCGGCTTTTGTTCTACCTCTTCTATCTATGTATTTTACAACGTCGTGTATAGTCTAGTCCCTCATGATGCTTTACGAACTCGACTTCACCTTGTAAATTGAAGAGGTGAATAGAAACTTACACCAATTTTAATGTATATATTTATCTTTTTACTTCAGAATAAAAATTTACGATAAAACAAAACAAAAATATTTGATATATCGCACTTAGAATCCAATAGAACGATTCAATGCTTAAGGGGCTGTCTCTGTAAAAGCCACCAACTCGAATCGTGCTGAAAAATGGATTTTTTACTCTAATATTTTAAAGGTTCAAACTTAGCAACAACTTGTATCTATTTAGTTTATTCAAAAATTCTTTAAGTTTTTCTAACCCGGCCACCTCGGGTAGTATCGGTAGTATCAATTTCGGTAAAGACAATTAATGCTCATACTCATTAATTGTTCATATGTATCCAGCCAATCCCTGATTGTAATTTGTACCACGTGAAGTAACTTGAAACCAGAGGAAGTACTCGTACCTTGTATTCTACCTTATTTCCAGTTACTTCTACCTTTTTCAAGTTACTTCTACATTATTTCAAGCTATTTCTACCTTATTTCCAGTTACTTCTACCATGTTTCCAACTACTACTAGCTAATGATAATCAAATTTTCAGTTTAACATTAATTTAGTGAAAAAAGGTCTTTGATACATGACTCCCTCGCAACTCGATCCCCTACCGTCCAGTCTATGTGCGCCGTCTATATGTACCGAGTTTCTGATGCGATTCCTCGGAAGATAACATACTTATCAATCTTATGGATTAGGCTCATTAGGAATGCCATGAATAGCAGACAAAGACAACTTGAATAGCTTTTGTTTCRGAAAGCCGTCAGGGAATTGAARAACAACAAACGGTGCTTCATGTATTCAAAATTATCAAAACTGAAAACCTTAGTGGAGACGCAATATATCAATATATTTCTGTTATATGTATTTCCTTCGCTTTTTTCCCCTCCCGAATAATTAATGAGTATGAGAAGTCGGCTAACGCCTCGGACTGGAACTAATTGCGCGGACTTGAAATCCAGTCCAGTCCTCATTGTTTCATTGTCGGACTTTAAACATTACTTAAATATCAAAAATATTGACATATATAGCCACGGCAAAAATATACAAATTCGCACTCGAAATTAAAACATTTTACATGATAGTATAGAAGAACTGGCTAATGGAAAATGGACAATGGCCTAAGCAAAAGCCAATTCTCATAATGTGCCCATATCGAGCATGTTTTTCGGTAGCGATATTCTTTATTCGAAACAGCTAAAAACAAAGCAAATACCGATTCATCACAGCTATCACAGTTTGTGAAACCGTTGAGTTCACGTTCCGAGCGCAAGTTTGAATACATAAGGCACGTGATCAAAACCTCCAAAAATCTTGGAGGTTTTGATCACGTGATTCCAGTCACGGCAGGGTCATCTCCCCCGACGACCGCCATCTTGAAAAGGAGAGTCGGCCGATATGGCCCTGGGGACGAGGTTGCAAARGCACGGGGTGACCTACGTAGCACGCAGTTGATGTAATGTATTCATAAAATGTWTTGTATTCCATTGTTTCTCGTTCTATTGTATTATGTGTTTTGTATTATATCTTTATGAATATATTACATCAACTGAGTGCTACGTAGATTCTCCCGCAAAGGCACGGATACTTTTCAAGATGGCGCATGTAACTGTGAAGGAGACTATTGAGAAATTAAAAATTAAACGAGACTTACCTGTAAGTTGAAGTTTGATGATAATTCTACCAAATCCGCAGTGATACTGAGGGTTAACATGAGATTACACGCGTGCCGCCGTTACTAGTCAGATTTTAAAACCGGTTGTGGACACAATTAAGTTTAGTATATATAGTAAGAGGTAAGAAGAGAACAGAATAGAGGGTGGGCAAACCTTTAAGGGCTGAGCATGTCAACCCTCAATATCAGCAAGTTCAATTGCCGCCAATTCAAGAATGTTAATATGGTAACGGTCAGTTACAATGGCGGAGATGAGCAAAGCTGGTCGTGTTTACCAGCGAGGAAAACCTACAGGTCAGGATTTAAGACAAATCAAGCAGCCAATGGCAGCATAACTCGGAGATTGATACAGAACGATAGATGTACGATGAATCAAATTATAATTACTTTAACAATTACAATTTTAAGTAAACGATTTATGAAATTGTTTCGTTACAATCTTACTACTTAATACTTCGGCTGTGTTGATAAGCACGGCGAGTGACGGCGAAATAAATCCCAGTCTTAGCCACGCTCGTAAAAAGTTTGACATCGTGGCCTAGTGGTTAAAACACAGGCTTACTAATCAAGAGGTCACGGTTCGAATCCCAAATGATATCGTATGTTTTTTTTTTCTTTTTTTTTTGTTCTTTATTATTATTTTTTATTATTATTTATTATTTTTTTCCAGCAATTCTTTTAAGAATGCTTACTCCGTAACGGTGAATTGAACAACTGAAAGTTGGTTCAATTGAATCCCCGACCAACTATACGCACCGTTGCTTTTATTGTTTTTATCGTTTGCCAGTTTCCGTAGCGGCTCAAAATAGTATTATCRATGTCYRRCCACASAATGAACTATGTATCAAATATTACAATGTAATAGTACGGTAGCGAGCGAATATATTTTTTGAATTGTAGACGAACGTGGATAAATAAAACACACGTAAAATGATTTTCGAGACGAATTTAATGTCGGATCGGCGAGTCTTCCTCATGCTTCCTTTGTGACTGAACAATACAACGAATCAAATTAGATTTACTTTACAAATAGAATTTTATGTAAACGACATTTGAATGCAGATTTTTTCGTTAAAATCTTATAGTTTTAACTTCGAATTCTAGACAAGCACGGGCGAGCGCCCATCATTTAAAACACAAGTCTACCCGAAATCATGTAACATTAGCACGCGTGGCCTAATCGGTAGTGCCTTTGATTTCCAATCCAGCGGGCCCGGGTTCAAATCCCAGGTGACCCATTTCTTTGATTTCTTTATTTGCCAAAAAATAAATCAATTCAATCAGATATAGCACAGGGAAACCAGTAAAGAAAAATTAGATATGATAAATAATAATTAAGTAGAATACATTAATATGATTAAATGAATAACTGCTGACAAAGACATCGCAGGCTCGAATTTACAGGAAAGTGATCGAGCGAGCGAGCGAGCGAGCGAGCGAGTGACAGCTTGTGCCCTCCCAATAACTCTACGATTGCTACGCAATCTCCGAGTTAAAAA